TGAGAATTTTAAAGGCCACCCAGAGACAATTTAAAAACTAGAAGAAAACCTTTTCTAGACGGAGCAAAAAAATCTGGTTTTCAGCCACTAAAAAACATCTCCCCGTGCAAAGCCCACAGGCACTCTCCCGTGCACGGAAATGCAGCATCCTCAGGACACGGAGCATGCCCATGCGGGCATCACCAGCCCCGTTCCCTGCAGCGCCTCGGCACGCATCTCCTCCAGCCCTGCAGAAACCGGGGTGCAATTCCCAGCTGACGTTCCCAGGCTGCACTGCACGGCCATGCCCACGCCACGCAGAGACCTTGCAACAAAACCACACCGGACCTGTCCTGCAAACTCCAGCTTCCTCAGTGAGCAGAGCCAAGGGTTTCACTCCAAACCACGTGAGAACCCATCAACCTCTTTACAGGCTCAGATTCTGCAGGAAGCGAGCTCGTATTAAAACCAATAAGGAAAAAAAATTCTTACAGTTGCCAAAAATGCTCTCTAAACAGTGCAGCAAAGAGCATCAAAGCGGAGCTATTCCTGAATTTGAAGACAGCCTGGAACAGAAGCCTCGAGAGGGCCCAGCCGTGCCCCATCCCCAGCAGGACTGTGTCGAGGGCGGGGGGAATTCTCCCAGAACCAGACACAATACACACAATAAAACCAGCTACGTGCATCCCGTTCAGCGATCCCATGCACAAATGGGTGAACTGCAGGAAGTAAGAGTAACCCTAAGAGTAGCCCTACAATTCCAGTTTACAGTAATCCCAAGTACAGAGACACAGTAATTTGAAGGTCAGTGACCTGTAAGGCTATGTTAACGCTTCCATTTCTGCATTACAATTCTGCATTTAATGAATTAAAAACTCCAGACAACAACAAAATCAGCTTTCAAAGCATGACCCCTGTAGCTAAAGCTATAGCTAGTCTATAGTCTATACTATTGAAAAAGAAACTGCAGATAGTAATCCTAAAAGAATCTATAATCAAAATGTATTTTTCATGGTTCCATTCATTTCATTTATAACTTCACAGATATTTTGTTGGCCTGAGGAATGCTGAGCACCCCAGTTCCACAGCAGACAAAAAGACCAGACCTTGCAGAACCTGCTCCAGCATCACAAATCCCTGTTCCCAACTCAACAGCACTGGTAGCATTTAAGGATATGTATCAGTTGCTTAATCTTAATATATGTGAATTTATCTACCAGGAGTAGTAACAGAAAGGAAGACTGCAAATGCTTATATTTAATACTGGAAGAACATGCAACAATGCTCTTGTTCAGGAAAAAAACCCCAGACTACGGCAAAAGGAATCAATCCTGAGAGAGCCCTGCAATATCTGCCACCTCCTAGGATGGCAAAAGTATGTAAATCACCACTGATATTTTTAAATTATATTTATTTATAGATTTGTATCATGTATCCATCTAGATACACATACACATATTAAAATAATATACATTATTTGTCTACAAATCGTAATTTAAGTACATTTTCACTCCTGGCATACAGATCTTTACAAATCCCCTACTGCTGCCCACGCAAGGGCCTGAGTAAAGAGGCACCAGCAGCCACCAAGGGCGAAGGGAGAGGGCAGCGAGGGGCATCACACAGTGACAGCGCAGGGGGACACGGCGCGCAACCAGTTTGGGCCAATAGCAGAGTTGTTTGTATGCTGGAAAGTCAAGGCATTTTAAAGACACTTTGATTAGCCTGAAAAATATCTCCGTCATGTAGCTTAGCCCGAGATGAGTAATACTTACAACGTTTGCCTTGCACCTTTTTCCTAGTGAGCAGCAAATGTTCTTACATGGGGGTTTGCACGAGTCTTCAGCCTGGCACACGGAGACACCGAGCCCCCTTGTCCGCGCCAGGAGGGCACGTGCCACTCGCCCTGGCTAGCGCCACCGATGCCATCCAAAATGAGGGAATGCGGGCCTGTGCGGGGTTTAACATCACCGGGCTGCACCTTCTGCTGGGACATAGCAACAAGGTGAGGGTCACCAAAACCAGCAGCGCTCAAGGAAGAAGAGACCAAAAGAGAGCCATTATGCCTAAAAACACTTTCGAAATTACATCGCGCATATGAACAGTTGCATGTTTCATGGCCGCGTTTCTGCAGTTAGAAAAAAACCCGAATACGCACACGTAAAATCCACCCAAGCAGCACACATTTTTCGAGGCCCTTCTCCCGCAGACCTCCATTCACCCAAGTAACACTGTCGAAGTCCATGGAAATGCTCTTGTAAACAAGGACTTACAAGACCCCGACATGACAATGGTCTCAAAAGGAGTTTTGACTGTGCAATTGTTGCTGGATTAGAGTCTTCAGAAACCCCGAGCGCGCTCTGAAGAGCACAGAATTCAAATCTGCCAAGTGCTGGGGCCTCCAGAGCGGATCCCGGGAAGTGCTGGAGGAGATGCTCAGCCTTCAGCATGGGAATGGCTCCAGGGCTCCCCCCCGAAAATGAGGAAAACCACGACGAAGGGATGGAGCTTCAGAAAAAACACAGGCTCTCTGCCCTCCCTTTTATAAACCACTGACCTAAACTGAACCGTATCACGTTGCTGTCTGAATTAACAGAGAATAAACTGTACAAGTACCTTGTTACAAAAAAAAAAGAAAAAAGAAAAGAAAACAAAACCAAAAAACCCAAAACCACTTGGCAAACATGTTTTCTACAAAATAAGCTTATTTGGTGAAATTCTCATTTAAAATAATTGATTCAACAGTAAAACAGCAGCAGGGACCAGAAGGACGAACAGCAGAATTTATCAATAACATTTGCCCAGATAAGTAAAAGTTTGTAATAAATAGATCATGACTTTGCTTATATAAATGCAAAACAGAGCAGCAAAACATCGCAGCAATACAAAAGGTAAATAAATGAGTTAGACACAGAGTCCATGAGTTTAAGAAGTCTCCCCTGTATTTAATAAAGCATGAATTTTTTTTAGAAACACTAACAGATCCCTTGCAGAGAGTTTTTTATCTTTATATTATCATATAAGACATTTTGTGTTTAAAGTGAACTATTGCTTCATCTAGGTGGCCCCTCTGCTGGGCATAGAAACTAGGTTGTGAACAAAATAAAAAATCACCATTGAAAATTACAAATCATACAATTTTAAAGCATTTTGATTATTTTTTTTCCCCCCTCAGTCCAAAAAGATAAATAATTGAATCGCTGGGAATGTAGAAGTCTGTGGTTTAGCATAAATTTCTGTGTCTACATAAAATAAAAAAGAAGCCAGCCAGAGTCACGGTTAGTTGAGAGGCAAAGGAAAATATGCAATTATAGTTCATCCCATGCTATTAACTCAGCAGGTGGAAAACATTTACATTTAAACCAGCGACTTTGCAGAACTAAACCTAATTCTTTGCTTCGAACACAGGTCAAAGTCCTCTTGGCATCAGCAAGACTTCTGCTTTTGGGAAACGGAGTATTTGGGATTCTGCAATCATTTACAATTAAAACATTAAATCTGTCATTTCACAAGGTTCCAGATTTTTTTGTTTCATTTTTCTCCAACAAAATTAGTATGTCTCTAGTGCAAAACAAAATATTCTCTCCCACTGCCCTTCAGAGAACTTCATATATACCAAACGCTATGAAACAATTGACTTTGTATCAGCTCTAAAAAAAGGATTAAAATTAGTTTCATGACGCTGAGGTTATGCTGTGTTCAAAATTATCCAATTATCCAGGAAAAAAAAAACCACCTTTGGAGAATTTAACTAAAAATCGATCAGTTAAAAACATATCTTTGCAAGCTTTTTTACATTTACAATACATTTTTGTTTCTGCATAAACTAAGCATTTTGACTATGTTTTCTCTTAGCATAGACCAAGACTCAGTTAATCTCGTTAACAGTTTGACTCGTTTCCAATTCTGACATTTAAGATACAGCGTAATGTGTTATTTGTACTTGAGCAGCGGCGGCTGCGGATGGGAAGAAAGGCAGGGGCTGCCCTGCTCACACTCCGCATCGAGCCAGGGCCAGGCTTCCACCGGAGCGAAAGAGCCGTGCGGATTAGCAGTGCAGTGCATCATTCTTTCTCAGGGCTGTTTTCCTCAAGAGAATCCATTTAAAAATGGCTTAAAACAGCAAATGAAACACAAGTTATCTAAACATCAGATTTTCTAATTTTATTAAAAACGCACAAATTTTATCCAACATGTTTTCTTTCATACAGTGAATGGTCTAATATGCACTGGAGGTCACACAAGCTTAGGTTTATTAGAACAATAAAAGACATATGAGAAATTTAATATATAAAGAAAAAAGTAGCAGCTGTTGACTGCATATTTGACCATAAAATTTAAATATTTTGGACTTTTATTTTAAAGACACAAAAATAAAACCTGTGTGAGTCTATATAAGTCATATTAACAGTTCCATGAATGTTCAACAGGACTAAAAATTAGCAAAGATGTTTGTCTTTTTTTTTTTTTTAAACCTTGTAACACTTTTTAAACACCTTCTTGGGTTGCTGGTGCAAAGCACCTTACAGTATTTGTGCTATATATTTACTTTATTTGGCAACTGTCTGGGTTTCGTGGGGTTTTTTTTTCTTTGCCTTCTGTAAACAACACCTTTTACAAACTAGCACAGTGAACCACAAGCCCTGCAATCTGTTATAACATCTACAGAAAAGAAAATGAACTATTTTGGTTGGTTGCTCAAAATATTTTGCTTTTGAACAAGAGGTTCTAAAACAGGATTTATTAGTAAAACATTGAACTCCTGAATTTAACATTAGACGTAAACAGTTGACTGTTTTTAGTTCAATAGAGTCTTTTTGTTTAGCTTTTCTCTCTCTGTGAAGGTAGAATACTTTGTGTTTGTTTGCTTTTTTTTTTTCAAGTCATTTTTGTGAGAGGTCTGGGCGGTGACCTTTGCTATGATGAGGAGGTTTTGTACGTGTAGCTTTGTGAAGGTAGAAGAGTTGGTGCTGAGGGCTTAACATTTAGTATTTGCTATTTTGGCAAACAAAACAAAAAACAAAGGAAAAAGAAAGTTGTCCCACCTGATAGTCAGCAGGCTGAAATGGCTGAAGCTAAAAAGAGTTTCTTGTTGTTGAACTTTCTGAGAGACAAAAATTAACAAACAAATTCAGAATGCCAGAACCATCCTTAACCGGGAATGCTAGAGTTCTTGCAGCTTTTTTTCCCCCTTTTCTTTGACCTTTCCTTCATTCAATTATTTACTTTTTTAAAATGAGAAGTTTCTAAGGATTGTGGCTCTTAGGATGACATCCAACACGGTAATCAAACTTACGCCATCCTACGGTATGGCAGCACTTTACTGTACAGCTTCACCAGTTTCTTTGTCAATGGTACAAAAAAAAAGTCCCCTTGCTTGTTTGATACAACCATAACATGAAGATTGTCCTGGTCTAGAGCAAAGCTTGCCTTGGAGCGATTTGGATTCAGTTCGTTCCCAAGGTAATATTGTCTTAGGGCAGGAGAGATGTTCTATTTATTCATTTCTGTACACCATAACAATAAGCAGACTAGATGATCATCACTTACTTAGACCCAGTTTGTTTTTTTTAAAGCTACCACACAGCCGCTTCATTCATTTCGGGTGGATGTGACAAGTGATTGCCATAGTTAGCACCACCGTTGACGGATATCGAAGAAAATGGAGGACTAGGGCCAAAAACTTCTGCGGACATGGAGTGCAAGGACCCGGGCAGGTTGGGTTCGGGGCTGGGCGAGTCTCCGGGGGGGTGTGACATGATGTCAGTGAAGCGCTGAGCATCGCTGGAGGGGTGATGTCCGGGCAGGGGGTGGTCCATGGCCCCCAAGGGAGTGCCTGACGGCCCCGAAGACGGCACGAAAGGGAGATCCACGGGTGTCTGGGCTTGAGATGACGGAGGTCCTTGCGGGAAGAAATCATAATTGCTCCCAGGGCCGTAGTACTCGCTCTGATAATCTGGCGGACAAGGAGAGACAGAGGGGAGGTAACACGCGGGGCAAGTAACCAAGTGGGAGAGACGCGAGAGCAACGAGGGTGCCCCGAAACGCCGCCGCACCTAGGG